AGAGAGAGAGAGAATTTTTAATGTTTTATTGTTTAGTTCTCGGCAGACACAACATCTTTGTTGGTATGTGGTGCTGAGGATCGAACCCGGGCCGCACGCTTGTCAGGCGAGCGCGCTACCGCTTGAGCCACATCCCCAGCCCCTTTACTTTTATTTTGAGACAGGGTCTCAGTAACTCGCTAAGGACCTCACTAAGTAGCTGAAGCTAACCTTGAACTTGTGATCCTTCAGCTTCCCCAGCTACTGGAATTATAGGTGTGCACCACCACACCCAGTTGGGGCTGTGATTTTATTTTATTTTTTTGAGAAAGAGAGAGAGAGAGGGAGGGAGGGAGAGAGAGAATTTTTCAATATTTATTTTTTAGTTCTCAGTGGACATAACATCTTTATTTTATTTTTATGTGGTTCTGAGGATGGAACCCAGCGCCCTGTGCATGCCAGGCAAGCATGCTACTGCTTGAGCCACATCCCCAGCCCCGGGGCTGTGATTTTAGGATCTTTATCTTAATCTTATCTCTGACCTCCCCAGCAACCTTCTTGAATTTGACCTTGAGCAAGGTTAGGGCTGAGAGGTGGGCAGAAATGGTAGACTGTCCAGAGAAAGGGGAGGCCTTGGGGGCTCAAGCAGAAGATTCTCTGTCAGGTGGGCCTCCCAGAAAACCTGAATGGAGCCCACCTGTTTCAGTTACTCTGGTTAAGGAAGGACCAGCACTGCCAAGATAGTAGCCAGGATTTCCAGCAAAGACCAGGGATGCCCCCTGGTGGATCCACACCCTCCAGAGGCAGAGCTGTCTTTTGGATCAGCTTCCCAGGATGTCTAGGCTGGGAAGCCTGACCACTGAAGTCTGGGGTTCTTTCTGTTTTGTTGTGTTTTAGCATGTAATCAGAGTGCACAGTGTTTATTCCAGGATGTAGGATAAGAGCACGGGCTCTGGTATTTGATAGGATTGGCTTCACATGTCAGCTGTCACTCACGAACTGGACATGTCTACATCTAGATAGTTGTCTGTGCTTCAATTTCTCATCCATCAAATGAGAGTCACTGAAGTTCCACCTCGTAGAGCTGGGGCCATGAGAGCTCTGTAGAGGGCGGGATCATGCTCAGTGAGTGTGCATTGTTGTCTTCCATGGAACAGAACCAGTTACTCTGTGGGCCTTGGTTTCCCCCTTTGTAAGACAAGAACAAATTGTGAAATTTGGTTGTGAAAATTAGACCTTGAACTCAAACTCAGAACACCTACGTTCTGCTACACGTGTAAGAGGTTAATTTTATGATTTAGTTCCTACTGTGTGAATGGCACTGTGTTTATTTATTCAACAAATATTGACCAAAGGCCTGTTCTAGGGCAAGTTCTCAGCCCAGAGCTGGGCACGTAGCAGTGAACAGGATGAGATTGGCTTTTTTTTTTTTTTGAGGAGAGATGAGATTGTTAACCCATATCAGCATCCACGTTAATTCAAAGTTTCGTCTTATTTCAAGGACCGGCACACTTTTCTCTGTAAAGAGCCAAAGAGTAAACATTTCAGGCTTTGCAGGCCATGTGCTTTTTGTCTCAACTATTCAGCTCCACCCTTGGAACATGCTAGTGGCCCTAGACACTATGGAAGCCAAGGAGCATGGCTGGATACCAAGCAAATTTTATATGTGCCCCTGAGAATTTGAATTTCATATAGTTTTCACATCAAGAAATAATATTTTTTTTGATTTTCACCAATGCATTTAAAAATGTAAAAAACATTCTTAGCTTGTGAGCTGTCCTAGGCAATGGGCCGGATTGGCCCTGGGACTGTCATTTGCGGACCCCTAGTGAGGGTACCCATAAAGTTTTGCAGCAGCTGTGAATAAGGGGTCACTTGTTTCATTCCCCCTCCCTGCTCCCCGTCCTGAGGATTGAACCCAGGACCACTCTTTCTATTTTTTATTTTGAGAGTCTTGCTGAGTTGCCAGGGTGACCTTGAACTTGTGATTCTTCTGCCTTATCCTCCCAGGTTGCTGAGATTACAATACAGGCATGTGCCATTGTACCCAGCCCACTTATTTATTTTAGTTGTAGATGAACACAATATCTTCATTTTTATTTATTTTCATGTGGTGCTGAGGATCGAACCCAGGGCCTCACGCATGCGAGGCAAGCGTTCTGCCACTGAGCCACAACTCCAGCCCTTGTTTTGTTTTGTTCAGTATTTTTGAGTCTCCATGGACCATGCATTTGCCACTGAGTTGCTGGGGAGTTGGGGGTCTTTCCAGATAAGATAAGAGCCGTAATGCTCCTTGTGCCTGTGACACACAGGAGGTGCCAGCCTCCTTAGTAAGTCACCTTGAACTCTGGCAGTCTGTGTTGTGTGTGTTTTCTCCCCTTTCCCAGTACTTCTCTCCCCTCTCTCGTTCTTCCCTGTGTGGCTGAAGTTCTAGAGACAGTTTGTTCCCATGTCACAAAGGAACAAAATGAGTCTCAGGGTGGAGAGTGCCTCAAGAGTTCGTCAGTCAGCGGCACTGACTGGCAGCAGGTGGTGCTCAGTGGGAGGGTTGGTCTGCAGGCTCTTTAGGAAGCCATTGAGGACACCTTAGGAAGCAGTCATGGGCTGCCACTCTGGTGGAGGGAGGCAGACAGAGTGGAGAGAGGTCAGGTCAGGAAAAGGGCATTAAGCAGACATGGAGCAGAGGTTAGGAGAATGGGACCCCCGGAGGAGGAGCAGGTATTGTTTTGTGGGGGGCTTCCAAGTAGGTCCTGTGCAGACAGGAGTGACCAGCATGTGGATTGTGTCCCCAGGGAGCCGGCGGCTGGTAGATGTGATGGACGTGAACACGCAGAAAGGCACGGAGATGAGCATGTCTCAATTTGTGCGCTACTATGAGACACCTGAGGCACAGCGGGACAAGCTGTACAACGTCATCAGCCTGGAGTTCAGCCACACCAAGCTGGAGCACCTGGTCAAGCGCCCCACTGTAGTAAGTCTGGCTGTGGCTGTCCCGGCACCTGCCATGGTCCCCTTCCTTCCCGCCCTGCTCCTGAGTTGGGAATGGCTGGCATGGGTGTGGCCAAGGCTGGTCCCCTGGGTGCCAGGGAGGAGATGTTGGGAGCAGGGTTTTGCCTTCTGTGCAGACTGAGGCAGGAGGATGGGATGGAGTGGATGGGGGCAGCAGCTCAAGGCAACCAGAGCCGTCCCTGGAGCAGAGGGGGCATTTGCTTCTGACCTGGTAGTGGGGCCAGGAACACTGAGTGGCCTGGGTTTCAGGTGGACCTGGTGGACTGGGTGGACAATATGTGGCCCCAGCATCTGAAGGAGAAGCAGACGGAAGCCACCAACGCCATCGCAGAGATGAAGTACCCGAAAGTAAAGAAGTAAGACGGCCTGGTTGGTGGGGAAAAGAAGGGGTGGCCCCCAGCTTGGGGAGGCCAGCAGGGCGATGCCTGGCTGTCCACATGAATTTGAGTGTCACTTTGCAACTGACCTCCTTCAGAGCTGAAGGGCCTGGGCTGGGCCACAGTTGGGACAAGAAGGGTGTGGGCCTTGGTTTGGGCAGGTTGGCATCTTGCTTCTCTGAAACGCAGGGCTCTGATTCCTGCACTGGGCAGGCTTTCCAACCAGCTGGCCTTCGGGCCTCCCCACAGCTCCCATGGAGAGGAAATGATCTGAGAAGGAGGAGCCATGGGCCAAGATTCCATGTACACCTGTGTGTGTGTGTGTGTGTGTGTGTGTGTGTGTGTCTGTGTGTGCGCATTTGTGCAAAGCTTGGTCTACTCCCTCCATGTGACAGCGTGTCCTGGGAATGGGCGTTTTAAGGGGGACCTGTCCACAGTGGACACTGTTTGAGGCCAGAGCAGGGGAGGGGGGTCTAGTGTTTCTCTTTTTCTTGGCGTTGAGACCTGGGATCTCTGACCCAGAAGAACCTTTCCTGAGCAGAACTTGGAGTCATCTTATTCACCAGAAGTGTCTTAGAGGGTACCCTCCTAGCAGAGGGTTGGTGCAGGGCAGGGAAGGTGACCCTGGTCAATAGCAGAGACCTTGCTAGACACAGCATGACCAGCGGCATAGCCTGTGATTGATGTTCAACCCCAGCAGCAGCACCTCTGGGCCTCTCCATGTACAGGGACTTGATAAATGGATCTCTGGGCAGAAGTCACCTTTGGGATTTCCACCAGCTCAGACCCTCTGTTTCCATCCCTTAAAGGGGAAGGATTTGCTGGCTGTCGCAGCCAGAGCTGGTGCTCTGGGCTTCCTAGAAGAGCTGCTCTCCCTGCTGCCAGCAATACCCTCAGAGCTTACAGGCTGTGAACTTTCCATCCCTCCGCCTTCCATTCAGTGCTGTGTCTTGAATGCAGAGTGCGTGCCAGGCTTCCTAGGGGAGGCCAATTGGTCCTGGGCTTCTAAAGGTTTTGCTTTCAACAAACCCCCTCCACCCCCTTCTCTAATTGCTTCCTAGACATTTCTCCTCCCCCTTCAGGCTGAAGCTCTATACATCACTTGGACAGAATTGCATCCATGAGAGAGACCTGGCTCGAGGCGGGGAGGAAGAGTAGCAGAGTTTGTTTCCAATTCTGTTTTTTTCTGACTGCAGCTAGAGCCCCTGGGAGGGAAAATAGAGGAAAAAAAACTAAGGGCCCCACCCTGTGGAGAAAGTGCCCTGCAGCACCAGGCTACTACCCTGAGGCTCTGATCCTGGGAAGCAGATTCTTGGGAGGAGGATAGGGAAGGAGGAATCTGGGCTGAAGTCCTCAGGAGGAGAGGCTAACCTGGGCTTTAGGGGATGGTGGCAGTGGGAGGAGGGGGAGACATGGAGGAAGGGAATCAATCATTTGATTGATTCATTCAGCAACCACGTACTGAGCCTCTGACTGGTGCTGGGCACTGGGGACACTGTGTGTGGGTGGGGGGCTGATGAGGCCTCTGCCCACATGAAGTGTAGTTTATGGGGAGACAGATGTTAATCCTGTAACGAGAGACAACACTTGGATGCTTGCATTTGGGATGAAGCCACCAGGCAAAGTACCACGGTACTTTAGCACTGGCACCAGGGGACTACCTGGTCAGGGAGGTCAGGCAAGGAATTCTGCACTGGGTTCTAAAGGGTTTAGGGGGCTCCTTAGATGATGAGGACTGAGGGGTTTTCTGGCTGGGTACAGAGGAGCTGGGATGGTTTGGGAGGGACAAGGGGACAGCTGTGGATATGGGAGCAGGGTTTTGGGAGTATTTGCAACCTCGGGAGACAAAGGGTTTGTAAAGAGCCAGACTGAATAGAGCCTGATGCCCCAATTTCCCCCCAAAAGACTCAGAAACCTCTGAGGTTCTAAGTGGGCAGGATGTGTTCAGGGTTTTATTCTGCAAATCCTCCTCTATGTAGATTGAAGTGGGCAGGGCCAAGCAGATGGGAGGAGGCCACTGTCTGGCCAAGATAGACAAGGATCCGGCAGGGGAGAGAAGAAAGGAGAGGACACTTGGACATGTATTGAGGAAGTAAAATAGGTAGCACTGGGGGATGTAGATATCAGTTAAGGTCTGCCTTACCTTCCTGAGATTCCTTTAAATAGCAAGCTCTATAAACGCATTTCGAATCCTCTCTAAGGACCAAAAAAAAAAAAACAAAACCGGGCTCACAGTTTGCTAGGACCACACATCTTTGAGGCATGGTGTAGCAAATAGATTTCCAAACTCTGTCAGCAGCCACGGAAACTTGTTACAGGATTTGAACCTTGTTAGGAAGGAAATTGTCACCTTGGAAATAATCCATTTGTTTGGCTGAAAAGAATGCTGATTTCAGATGTTCATAAGCAAGGTAAAAATCCTACCACGATAAAGTCCTCTGGGACCGTGGAATGGTTCTGTGGAATTTAATTAAAATGACATTGTTTCTGGAAATCGCAGAGCTTCCTTGCTGGAGGCGCCCGCGGAGCAGAGACAGCTGCTGGTCCTCCTGAATCAAAGGTTTGCGGGCGCGGAGGGGGAGTGCGAGGCACTGCTGCTTGTGCCCTGGCTCCAGGATTTTTGCTGTTCACTTGTGGTCTAGGGTTGCTTTAGGAATTTCAGCAGGTTTTGGGAATACTTGCAACCTTGGGAGACAAAGGGTTTGTAAAGAGTATGCTAATGTATGTTGTGGTGCCAGACACTTCTCTAAGTGGTTGATAGATCACAATGAATAGAGTCAAGTCCCCATTCTCACAGAGGGTGTTCAGGGTGTTCGGGAGCTGGGGGATAATTTGTTGCTAAGTGTCTCAAAGAGACCTAAAGCAGGCAGGGCAGGCGGGCGCACACCTGTACCAGCTATTTAGAAGTCTGAGGCAAGAGGATCACAAGTTCAAGTTCAGCTTGGGCAATTAGTGAGGCCCTAAGCAACTTAGTGAGACCCTGTCTCAAAATTAAAAAAAAAAAATTAAAAGGGCTAGGGATGTGGCTCAGTGGTAAAGTACTCCTGGATTCATTCCACAGTGCAACAAACAAACAAACAAACAAGAACAAAAACATAAAGCAGGATGAAGGGGAAAAAGAATGATGGGTGGTGATCCAGTTGATCTGCATCTTGGCATTTCCTCTATCTCCATCTGTACCCTATAGAAATGCTTTGAATTGTGTAGGATTGTTTGTCTTGAAATTCCTTTTATATCTAAGCAATTGACAATTATTTGGTACTATCCTTGCATTATTTTTGTTTGTTGTTTGTTTGTTTTGGTGGTATTGGGGATTGAACTCAGGGACACTTAATCACTGAGCCACATCCCCAGCCCTTTTTTTTTTTTTTTTTAAATTTTGAGACAGGGTCTCATTAAGTTGCCCAGGCTGGCCTGGAGCCTGTAATCCTTCTGCCTCCTAGTGTCTGGGATTACAGGCATGAGCCCCGGTGCTCAGCTGCTTTAGCTCTTTATTGATACATAACCATGACCCTAAAACTTCACAGCTAAAAAAAAATTTAGCAGCTTAAAACAATTGTAGATCAGAAATCTGAAAGTAACTTAGTAGGATAAATTTGGCCCAGGGTCTCTTATGATCTGTGTCAAGACTTAGGTCTGATGGGCATAGTGGAGCACCCTGTAATCCCAGTTTATTCTGGAGGCTGAGGCAGGAGGATCACAATTTTGAGGCCAGCCTTAGCAATTTAGCAAGACTCTGTCTCAAAATTCAAAGAGCTGGGCATGGCTCAGTGATAGAACTCCACTAGATTCAATTGCCCAGTACTGCAAAAACAAAAACAAAAAGTCTTACGCCTGGGTTGCATTTATTTAAAGGCTTAATGGGGAGATTGAAGGATTCACTTCCAAGATGGGCATTTACATGGCTGTTGGCAGGAGGCCTCAGTTTTTTGCTACATGGATCTCTGCACAGGTTCACTTGAACATCCTTGTGACTGACAGCTATTTCCCCAGAATGAGTGGTTCAAGAAAGACCAAGGAGGGAGATACAGTGATTTTCATGACCTAATTTTGAAAGTCACATCCTGTTTGCTTGTGCTGTCTTCTGTTAATTAGTCTGGCCCATACTCAAGAGAGTAGGAATTTGGTTCTACCTCTTGAAGAGAGGAGCCTCGAAGAATGTGTGGACACATTTCAAAGCCTTCACAATCCCTTATGACATAGGTGTACCTTTTTCACTAAGAAGGACTGGGCATTGTAATGCATTCCAGAAAGGTATTAAGGAGTCTCCTCCCTTCTCTGCTGCTCCCGTAACACCAGGGTTTGCAGAAATGAGGTTTGCTGGTGGAATGAAGATATGCTGTGGGCCAAGAAGCAGCGAAGGAACTCAGAAGCCCAGCCAAAAGGGGACTTCACGTAAAGCATATGTTTGGCGCATATGTTTGAGAGTTAAATGCAAACCTCTCCTTTTTTCTTTACTTTATGGGGTGGTAGGAAAAACTGGGGGGAACTATATGGGTGAGAAGCTGAAAGGATGAAAATGGGCATTGGGTTGAGCAACTTGCAGGGGCTGCTTCTGCCATTCTCTGGTCTGGGATTACAGGCATGAGCCATTCTGCTTCGGCCATTCTCTGGACCCTGCAAATCTTTCATCTTTTATTCAGACTCAGTTTTACCTTCTGCAAAGTGGGGGTTCTGTCATCCCTATCCTGCCTCCCTGCCTTGATGTGGAAGTGGATGTGAAGTGTGGAGTGCTGTCCCCACGTGGGACAGAATGTTTGCCCCTGTGGCCTGTTGGACCCTGGCATCCTCTGTTGTTAGTCTTCCCTCCCTCAGGTCGGTATAGAGCTTTTCTCCACAACCACATTCACTTTTTAACTCCGAGACCGCCTCTCATCATCTGCATTTGCTGGCTTCATAAATCATCACCCCTGTGTCCCATCAGGCAGGGAAACTGGCCTAAGAGGCTGCCAGTGTCAAATAGGGAGGAAGTTGTGGGC